CCAGAAACCTTTGGAATTTCAGTACTATATATTACTATGAGGAAGAAAATAAAGTTCTGCCATTAGAAGGTAGGTCCTTGCCTTAAAATGTTTGAGGAAAAAAAATGTTATTTTTTTTTCTTTCTTGGAGTTTTTTCTTGGAGTAATGCAGAGGCAGAACAGCCAGCTAAACAAAACATAAACAAGGCTGTGAAGCATCTATCCTGCTCTGTTAGAAATTTTCAAATTGCCACAGTGTAATAGGGAAGGACCGTTGTTCATATTTTTAAGTGAAAATGCATAATTTGCTTAATGTGTAGCTTTATCCTTCAGAAGAGTATTTTCTGGGCATGATTTTGAGCCAGGTATATTTGTGCTGAGCTCTATTGACCATTGGTAAAGTCCACCAGGACTGAGCATGAATCTTTTTATGCAAGGCTGCCAAGGGCTGTCCCAAGTTCAATTCCAAATGCAATGCAACAGGGACAACTTTTTCCAGAAAAATTCCTCCATGTTGAGAGCCATCCATTCATACAGTTCCTTTTTTAGTTTTCCTATTAAACTCACCTCTGACTTTAGAAAATAGATTAAATATGGAATCCATTCTGGAAATAGTGTCTGTGCCCAGCAGCAGATGTCTTGCTCTGTGTCAGGTGTTTGTAATCCTCCTTACCTTCCAGCAATCACAATAAAGAGTGCCCCTTAAAGCCCTGCCCAGGCCCTTTGCAAATGCCCAAATTACTTCTGAGTGGGCCTGGGCTGAGAAGTGCTCTCTGCTGTATTGTCACTGTTGTCATGTCCTGGAAATATGCCTTGTGGCTGCTGTCACTCTGCAGGTCAGAGGTACCATTCTCTGTGCCATTTCAGGAGTTTTGCCTTCCAAAGAGTCTGTCAGCTTCTGGCCAAACTGCCTGTGTGGTTTGAGGGTAAAGCAGTTTATTTGCACACCAATAGAGACATGGCAACACAAGCTGAAACAAACAAATGAACAAAATACAACCAACAAAAACTAAATGCAAGGCTTAATAAATGAAAGCCACATGTCCGTGTGCTCCCTAGTTCGTATTTAATGGAAATCTGGCAGAAGTTTTCAAAATCCAGAGGCAGAGTCTTGAAGGGCAGATGTCTAGAGCTGCAATACGTACATACGTAAATGCAAAATATTAATTTCCTATTCCTGGGAAAGGCATGATAACAGGTGCTGTTTTTTTTTTCCCCTACTCTCAGAGTAATTTGGCATAAAGTGCTGAAGAAAAGGAGACAGTCTCAAATTCTACCCTAACCATGGAGCCACAGAACCTTCCAGCTGTACGCGCAGCCCATGGGCTGTCCTCCACCAGGACGGTTCAGGAATCTGCTCTTTAGACTGCATGGTGCATTTTTCAAATCATGCAAATTCTTCGAAAAGAAGCAAAACACCTTTGCTGTTTTATTGTTGTGCTGTGTTTGCCTCCTCCCTTCATCTGCATTCCAGGAGCTAAAGAACTGGGGTTGTCGGCTCCAGATGAGGTTGTGTATTTCACTGTGACCAGAAAATATACCCTGATGATATCGGTGAGGGATAAATCCTCCTGTGGTTGTGCTGCTGTTTTATTTCTATTTTGCACTTGACTCCAACCTCTTGTGCAAAAGTGCCAGGGCAACCGAGAGTCACTGGGGTTTGATTTTCCTTGCATTTGTCATCCTGGGGTTGGAACTCCAGCTCAGCTCACTCCTTTAACCAGACCCTTTAGGGCTGCAGCAGGGCTGGAGAGTCTTTCTTTGGAGGGGAGTCTGCTGATCTACAGCACATGCCCCTCTTAGACACTCAATTGGATTTTGCAGAATCCCATCTTTAGATTGGTCAGATTTTGCCTTTATTTTATATGCTAAATTTGCAACAGAAAAAAAAAAAGACATCATTTAAATGACTACACTTCTGTCTGACAAGACAAAAGACCTAAAGAGGGACACAGTTTTCCTATTTTAGGTCTTCAAAGGAGTTAAAAAAAAGGGGGGGGGATAACATGGATAATATATGTCCTGAAGCTTTTTATCTCATGTCACCTAAATCACTCACATTTATTAGGTATGAATCCTGTAGTGGTGCTTCCAAGCGTAGCACCCAGAAATGGGTGAGTGGTGGTGGGGTTACAGGTAAGTGTTGTCCAGTGTCCAGGATGGGAGGTCAGGGCTGACTGCTGTGCAAGCTGGATTATGCTGATGTGTTGTGGGTGACATCCCTAGTTAACCAGCCACTTGAGCAACCTGTCCAGGTCCAGGAACCACTGCCAGCTCTGCCAATGCTATGGGTGACAGGTGGTGGCCTTTTAAATGTTATTCACAGTGCATCCTCTATTTCTTTTAAAACAGCACCGACAGCTGTGGTCAGTGATTGCATGTCTTTGTTCCAAAGGTTTTCTAAAGAGCACATCAACAGGGTGAGCATGAATTTGCTGAGTGTTTTTCTTCCAGTCTACACAGGTAAGTCACACAACCGGAGAAGCCCTCTTGGTCTGCAAACACTTCTCCTTCCCCAGAATGTTCAAGATCTGTACTTGTGAAGGGAAAGAGCAGGGCACGGGGGCAGCTGGACTCTGAGCAGCATTTGAATATCTTAAGTAGAGAGGGGCTGTGAGCAAAATGAAAACATGTCATGTGCCCAGGTGACATTTTGTAGCAAACAAGGAAATCGCAATCCAGGAAGTGGTGTATTTTATGCCAACAACAACCTGACAGTTTTCTCTGTAAAGAAAACATGACACTTTTCCAAATATCAGAGGAGGCGTCCACTGCTCCTGGGATCCCTGTCCTGTCACTGAACTGGAAGGTCGCAGTCTGGCTTCATGATTTCTGTGGCTGCACAGTGCAGTGGAGGAGGGTTTGCACGCTAAATGCTGTAGGCTAAGGGAAATCTTTCCCTTCATCTCTGAAAAAAGTGACAGGAGGAAAAAGGTCCTGTGTTGACAGCAGTAACCTCTAAGTTTAAAGGCTCTGCCCTAAGCACCAGCAAGGAAAATCGTCCATGTTAATACATTGCCGGGTTGTCTCCAATATGCAAGGGACGGGGGTGCCAAGCATGCCCACCCAACCCTGGGGTTCCACTGTGAACCAGGACAGGAGGGAGTCTTATTATGATTGAGAAAAAACATGCTTCATAACAGCCTGGGTCCCCGTGTATCTCCACCTGTACTTGGTGCTGGGGTGGTAATGCCCTCTCTATGCTGTGTCGTCCCCGTGGGGGGAGTAAGCCCAAAAGGGTCATATGCTGACATTCAAGGGAACTTGCTTTCAGGAAACCTTCTCTGTAGAATGGCTTTGAGGTGTCCTGAAGTGCTCGTGGTCATTTTGTCGTTTCCAAAATATGCACACCAGGACACAAACTCCTAGGCACACGCGAGTGGCACACGCCTCCGGATGGGGCAGGTGTGCTTGTCGCCTCGAGAACCTCACATGTCCTAGGAGGACATGGAGAACAAGGGAGGCAGCATTAATAAGGATATGAGCAGACGACGAGGACGCAGTGTGCTTCCCGTTCACAGTGAGGAGATGTGACTTTGAACCCTGATAAATGTTGATGCCTGTTTTTATCTGGTCTCAGCTGTGCTGCTGCAATAAAAAATTCTTTCAACCAATTTCTTTTAAGAGTGGGGTTCCATTTTAATTAGTAGAAAGGCAAAAATGTCACTTGCCATGTCAATACATAATTCTTTGAGCTAAAGTAAAACAGTCTGCTTCCTACAACAAGGAAAAAATAATAAAATCCCAGCTTGAAAGCAGAGAGCATGATTGAAACGGATTTGCTCCCCACACCCCCGACACACCCCTTCCCGGGGTCCCAGGTCCTCCACAGCCTTCCCACACCTTGGACTGTAGCTTATATACTTCCTGTTGCCCCTTTTATAAGCAATAAGAATTTAATAACTGAGGGCAACTCTATAGCAATATTTATATGGGTCAAGTGGCTTAAAAGTATGCAATAAATGTAAAGTTATGAACCACATTGCCCCTTTTTAAATAATGCAATGAGCATGGAGATATTATGTTTCATATTCTGGAAAAAGGTGTTTTGGGCTAAGCGTTTGCGTGCAGCAGACATGAAAAGTTATACCGAGCCTGTAACCAAGTCACTGCTTGCTCAATATGGTGTATTATGTCAAGCTCCTTGTCCTAATCTCAGCCCACAGCAAGAGGGTCCCAGATGGTATCAACAGAACCTTAGCGTTCTCATTAGCAATCAGCAAATTCTCCTGGTGTCTGCTAGTTTCAAATCAAGGCAAGTGCCTCCACTCCTAGTGTGAAGCCCAGTAGGATAATAGAAATAATGTTGCCTAATCAGTGGCGAACACTTGAGATCCCACATCCACTCGGGCTGGAGTAAATTTGGTGAATTTGAAGCTTTAACAAGTACCAGGGGCCCTAGGAACCCCGGGGGCAGGATGGTGGCAAGAGGCAAAAGCTGAGGCCACACGTCTGTGACACAGGAGGCCCCGACTCGCCCGGAAGCCCTCTAGGGCAATCAGGGGAGGTGGTTTCTTCACTGTGGGGAAACTGTGGGAAGCTGGTTTCCTGAGCAAGTCTGAGCATAGCCGGGTGCCTGGTGGGGCGTCCTTGTGGGCTCAAGTGGTGGCTTTGTGTTGGCTCTGTGTGGAGTTGGAGGTGTTCCCTAGGTCACCAGCTGGATGGTACTGCCCATGCTCTGGGAGGGAGCCGCTGGTGTTCAGGGCGGTCAGCCCTGGAAGCAGCCTGCTCTCCTGTGTGCATTTCAAGGGCAGCTCCAGCACGAGCTCCCGTCTTCCTCCTCACTCTGCCTGTCCTGCGGCCTGCAGAGCCCTATCCCCACTCTCTAACCCGTGAGTGGACGCTGCCTGACATGGGCCACACACCCTACGCACAGGCCCTGCAGGATGGATGCCCAGGACTCCCACATTGAGGTGCACTCGCTACCAAGAAGTGGGTGTCGTCCCTTGGTTCCCAGCCACTTCTGTCAGTCGCTGCAGGTCACCTGGCCCACCCATGCACTGTACCAAAACTCCACGTACCTGGGTCTTATCTCAAGTTGACACCTAGGGAACCAAGATCTCAGGAGCCTCGCACTCCAGCTCAATGAGGGCAGTGTCTGCAATGAAGGAAAGTGTTCCTTTCACTGAAGGAGAAACGATGTGTGACAGGCAGCTTTACAAGGACTGGCTCACAACAGGCAGCTCCAGTGCACAGGCCTTTCCAGAACTGGCTGATAGGCCACCCCCAACCAGCAGGTTCCAGGCACAAGAGGCCTTTCCCAGCACCTCACACCAGCCAGGGAGCAAGTCTGAGAAGAGGTCCAGGAGGGAGGCGAGTTCTCTGAGGGCCATTCATGTCCCCCAGGGGTAAGCAGGTGGCCAAGAAGGAGCGTGTGCCTGGCGCCACCTCAATGGGGCCTCAATGTCCTTGCTGCAAGAGGACAACCCAGGTTGCAGGCTTGGGTTTTGAAATGGACATTGACCCCTGGCCTGAGGCCATACTGTGCGTCATCTCTGTGTCAACAAAGGGGACTGTCTATGAGCAGACCAGACACTTGGTAAATGATAAGTGAAGACACTATTAATTCCCCATCTGACCCCTTCTAATAGTCAGCCCTCGGGCAGCCACCCGGCCTCTGTGCCAGAGGAAAAAGCACTAATTTGAGAAGCAGTCTGAGCCTGGCAGAGTCACGGGCTGAGTGTCCAGGTCCCCTACACTCTCCATTTTATTACCCTCCTTATTGCTGGATCACCTGAGGCCAGTACTTCTCCCAGGCAAAGAGGGGTCTCCACTCTGTACAGCATATGATCTGTCTTACTGCCAACTTCTTAACCTGGGCAGGAGGGCAGGAGGGCAGGAGGGCAGGAGGGCAGGAGGGCAAGAGGGCAGGAGAGCAGGAGGGAGGGCCGAACAAAAGGAGGGAAGAGGAATTTAGCTCTTTATCAAAGTTTTTTTTTTTTTTTTTTCCAAGTAGTTTGGATTTGTTTGTTCTGAAGCCACAGCCCTGTCTCAGACTATTATTTTTTATGAGAATTTTCAATACAGTCTTATGGTTAATTTTTAAAAGTTTCATATTTTCTTTTAGTAGGAAAGGCAGGAAATGCTTTATTTGAACTCAACCTACTTCTTCAGGCAGAAACGCCCTGCGAGCTGCTTGTCCATCTGCCGGCAGAGCAGAGAGGGTTGTAATTAGATGATGGGCCCTGGGTACCTCCCCTCGCCTCCCATCATGGCCCTCGCTAGTGAGGGTCCCTGAGTGTGGGGGACTTCTGCAATGTTTCACAGACTGCACTTCTGAAATACCACCCTTCAAGGAGCAAGGCCAGCCCAGTCTGCTCTGGCCCTCCACCCTTGCCATGTGAGAGGCCTTTCAGGGACAGCACCCCCCACCCCCACTTCTGTTAACTGCAGTAAGTTCCTCCCCCACTTCACTGGGAGCTCCTTCAAGGCAGGGGTCACAGCACCTCGCCAGCCAACCTGTGTTCAGCAAATGGTGTGCGAATCAGCAGAGGCCCACAATGTACTGCCTACACACAGCATGGATTTTCTGGGTGTCAGGAGTGACGCTTTCTGTCTTGCTGTTGTCTCCTCGAGCCTCCAGTGTAGTTCCTCTATGGAGTATGGGACTGCGAGGTCCAGCCATCATACTTGATCCTGGAGGGTGGCTTGGTGGAGGCCAGCTGGAGGAGCATGGGAGCTTCCCGCTGCAGGAGCGGCTAAGCTGAGGGGCCCTGCAGGAGGAGGGCTCCTATCCTCAGCATGGCCAGCTGAAGCTGCCTCCAGCTGCACAGGCAGGACTGGGGAAGCACTCGGCCTGGTCCCTCTCCTGCTCTGTTGCCCACTCCCCAGTGGAACCTGGGCAAGTCATGCCTTTTCTCAGAACCTCAGTATCCCGTGTAGGATGTGGACAAGGACCCTGAAGGGTTACTAGAAAGATGGACTGAGCCAAGATGTGCAGAGGACTCACTCAGATCGTGGCTGGTGGCCGTGTGAATGCTGCTCCTGGTTTGTCACTCCTCGCCAGTGTCAGCAGTCTCTCCTTAGAGGGCTGGTGGTGAGTGTTTTCATCTTTGCGCTCCATTTGTCTCTGCTGCAACTACTCACCTCTGCCACGGTAGCCACAGACAATAGGCAAATGAAGGTTTATAGCTGTGTTTCAATAAAACTTTATTTACAAAAGCAGGCAGTGGGTTGGAGTTGGCCAGTAGGCTGCTGTTTGCTGGGCCCTGGTTCAGTAAGCTCTCGCTGCTATTATCCCCACCCCTCGACAGAAATCTGCAAGCTCTTTTGCCAGTGATCCTCTCCTAGTTCTGGCCAGCATAAATCCTGCTGCCGGGGGATTTTAATTGTCCCCAGAGACCAGGGTCCCATTGATCTTAAACATTTTCACTTTTTATCTTCCTCAATCCACTCTCATAAGCACCATTGTGAAAGCAGAGAGTCTTGTTACTACTGATGATATTACTAGTGATACAATAATGTCACTGCCATTCAAGGAGCTAAGCCAAGCTCTTTGCAGGATCTCATTTAAGTCCTTTTTGACCCTGCTTGTCATGCATACAATGAAGGAAAAAGCCGTGTTTAAAGAAGGAATTGATATAGCTGATAATTTTCAGGTCATTCTCAGAGTATAATCTGCCTAACAGCTATCACATATTTTGTTTGTTCTTTGAAAATGTCCTTAATAGAGCAAGCCCTGTGCCTTCAGGGTGGACGGGCAGGCACCAAGGGAAGCTTGCTACGTCCTGAAGAGTCATTGCACACATCTCCAGCCCAGAGGTTTCAGTGAACTGGTTGTGGTTGCTTTATTTTTAAGCAAACACAACGAGAGAAGGTCAATGTTCAGGGAAGCCTACACTGAGGGTAACAGATGACAACATGCTGTCCTATCCTCAGGGGAGAGCCTGCCATGAGACAGGGCTGCCACAGGGGGCAGCCCAGAGTCCCAGAGAGGGCTCAGAAGCAGCAGTTTGATTTGACAGAAGCTGGGGACTCTGGGTGGACAGTATGGTGGCAAGTATGACTTCCAGGGACCACACCTGGTTTTGGCAGTGGCTATGGTGTGGGGTGTGCTGAAGGTTACCGGGACAAGGGGGGCACCCCACCCTGTATAACACTTTTAACACCTGTACACAGCCACAGTCTGGGTAAGGAGCTGTGATAAGCATGTGAGTCCTTCTAGGAGGAAGGAGGTGGTAAGGAGGTCGGGGTTGAAGGAATGGCTTATGCAAAGCCAGGGGAATTTGGTTCTTTGGTGTGTTCATAAACTGATCCCTGTGGAGAATGCAAAGCGAGGGGCCTCAGAGGAAGAGAAATGCTGAGATGGGAGACCACCAAAGGATCTGGCTTCACACTGGAGGCAGTGGTCCTCCAGATGGGGAGTGGAGGACTGCGGGGCAGGAAAACTGACGGCAACTCAGGGCTGGCTCAAGGGCAGGTCTGAGAGGGCGGCTCAGGCAATAGCACTGGCACGAAGGTGGCCAGAACCTGCCCATTTCCCTCTCAGCCCCAGGCAGCCTGCACGAGTCCATTCTTGCAAGAGTTGCCCGCTGCATCAGTGTCGTGCACTGAGTGGGTGCTAGTCTTTGAGGACATGGAATTGGACAATGCCCGGTCACGAGGGGCTCAGAGCCTGTAGAGGAGGGGAGATGCATGTCTGCTTGTTCATTCAACAGCACATCTTCACTGCACACCCACCACCAGGTGCCTGTAGGTACTGGGAAACCAGCTGCAGAAGTCCAAGTCTGATACCTGCTCGCCCAGCTTCTTACCTGGCACACTGGGTCAATCTTCATCGTGATCAGTGGGTTTCACAGCTCTCCCTGAACCTCCAGCCATCACTGTGCCGGGGCCTGGGCTCCTGTCCCTGTGGCTTTGGCAGACGGCCGCCCCTGCTCGCCCACCACATGGGCTCCAGGGCTTCTCCGTTTGCTCTAGAACCCTGGAGGGTCCTTCGGCAAACCCAGCATGGCTTACTCCTCCACATCCCCTCAGCCTCTCCCCCACCACAGCCCAGCTCCCTAAGGCCCTGGTCTGGTTTCTCCCAATTCTCTTGGTGGAGGAAACACAGTCAGAAGGGTTGAAATTACCCCAAACTGAGGGCATGAAGCCCTGGATCCAGTTTTTCAGATGACTCTGGAGTCTGCCCCCCACTCCGCCAAGCCTCTGCATCTTGGAGCCACCCTCGCCAGCTAATGAGGGCTGAGCACTGCCACGCCCCAGGCAGCACCCACTGGCTCTCTTCTTCCTGTGGAGACTGAGAACCAGCTACTTGGCCCAAGATGGAAGGTGTGTCCTCAGAGCTGGCTCCTTGCTCTGAACAGCTCAGGAGATCCACTCACACCCAGAAATGGGCATAGAGTGGGGATCTGGAGACCTGTCTCTGCTGGGTTGCACTAGATATGGTCATCCAGGCCTGATTTCATGCAGCAGACGCTGGAGTAAACCTAGAGTCAGAAGTAGACACGGAGGCAGAGTCACATTTCCTGACTCAGGTCACATGTGGCTGAGCTCAGGCTCAAAACTAGTGTTGTGACTTCAGAGCTCACCTGAGACCACCTCAACACGTGCTCTGCTGAGTCATCACAGAACATTGCTATCCAGTCCGCAGTACCACCTCTGGTTCTGGGAAGACCTGACTTCTCCTAGACCTTCTGCTTAGATTGGGTGTGGCATGTCTTGGAACTGTGGCCAGACTTCCCTGACTCAGGGGTGGGTCAGCTGGGAAGAGGCATCCACTCTGACTGTCCACCCAGGACAGAACTGCTGAGGTGGGTGGATGGGGCTCTTCAATGCAGGGTGACAGGGTGTGCAGGCAATAAGGACAAGTGACAGGTAAGGATCCTGGTGACGCTGTGAGGGATGGTCTGGAGTGCTGTCTCACGATAGCCCTCCCCTTCTTAATCACCAGGGATTTGCTCATGGGTAGGCTGGTGGAGCTCAGCAGAGCCCGGGCAGCAGCACTCCTCCTTCGCCCAGCAGCAGAGCCTGGTTGGTGAATGAGCTTTACCCTGAAGGCCAGGCTCATGCACTTTAAAATGGTTTCCACTCTGGTCCTAGAAAACACCTAGACTGTGCGGAACAGTCATGCTGTCATTTACTATCTGTGACTTTTCTACCCGTCTGTTATTATGATTTTTTTGTATTAATGATGGACAATGAAATTGGCTCATCTTCTTCAAATAATAAAAGTGGTGTTTCTTCCAGGCTGTCCTTGAAGCCGTGCTGCCTTTTGCCCCAAGGTGCAAAGGACCAAGGGCACGAAGCTGGCCCTTCCCCCTGGCTTACTTCATACTCTGCCATCATCAGCTGACAAATGTGGGCCTGGCGCCTCCTGAGCAACAGAGAAATGAACTGACCACACCTCATCTCCCTGAGCCTCAGTCATATCTCCCCAAACACAGAAAATGCCATCTGTTTAGAGGTAGGCAGGG